ATCTAGCAGGAAATCTATGGTAGGTCCTACTATTCATTTGTTGATTTCTGGCTTGGGAATACAGAAGAGGTTGCATGTTTTGGTGGTAAATATGATAGTTCATTTCTGACTTATTGTAGAAAAAAACGAGTGGATAAAGAAAACAAAGTGCAGTAAATCCTCACTTAACTTCATCCTTAGGCTGTTGGAAACTGCGACTTTAATTGAAACTATGTGTAACGAAACCAATTTTACCATAGGCTAATTGATATAATCAAGAGTTAATTTCCTATGACATATATCTGGTCACAGAAACATCACCAAACTTCTACATAAAGACCAAAACATGTCTAATATTAACCATTGAAATGTGAGCTATATATACATACATTTAAGAAAGATTAGTAAAAACAAGAGAATGATTTACCCACTTATTCCAGTGCAGAGTCATGGGTGGCTGGAGCCTAATCCGGCAACTCAGGGCACAAGGTGGGCACCAGCCCTGGCAAGGACATCATCCCATCACAGGGCACACTCAAACCCATACCCACACTCACTCACGCTGAGACCACATAGGCATGCCGATTCACCTAACGTGCACAGCTTTGAGATGCGGGAGGAAACCAGAGTACCCAGAGAAAGCCCACACAGACCTGGGGAGATCGCGCAAACTCCACATAGACACTGGGCCCAGCTGGAAATGGATTTTTTTTTCTTATCAATGTTATAATGACACAACATTGAATGAAATGATGTTATTCTAGGACCTGCTGTATGTATTTCTCAGCCCCAGTAGAATGGATTGAGAGTTAGATTAGCAGCTGACAGTGTGCCTCAGTGGAAGAACTACTTTCCCAGGGTCTATAAGAATCCCAAGAAGAGATTGACCTTGGTTGGGTCATGTGGCCACTCCTGAACCAAATGTTGGGTCTGGGAGTGGGGGTAGGCGGTATAAAATGGTAGATAGGGCATCTTTTATGTCCTATGTCCCATTACAGGGAATAAACCTGGGCCAGGAACAGTCCCCCCAGGCAAAGGTGCAGACTAACAAAAACAATATGAGGATGCCTTCATTTGGATTTTTCCAGATGCCACAGCCTCCAAGGAATTCCAGGCCAAAGGTCATGGGCCTGAATTGTAGCTCTCTGAACCTCTGTCCCATTCCTTTGTCTTCAAAGGAATTTTTGTTAAGGCCAAAATACAAGCCTTCTATTGATAATTTTTCCTCATTGACTTCTTTATATATTTAATTATTTTCTTAAACTATGTAAAATGATAAAAACTCCCTTAATATTTTGCCATGGCCTGTTTTCTTTAGGTGACATAACATCAAATTACCCAGCACCCAACTTCTCTGTGTCAAGCATAGCTAATCTGAGGGCCCTATCCCTATCAAGATGGTCCCAGGTTCCTGTCCACTTCACCGCATGGCTGCATAGCAGGTATAATACAGAACAATAGGACAGAGAATTTTTTAAAACAGTTTTAAATGCATAGTGGGATACTCTGCTTGCTCTAACTAGCAGGCTCTCTTGCCCTTTGGGGACATACCTCAAAGCCTCAGGACTCTCCTCTCTCATCGTCCTGTTTTCTGGAGAGAGAACCTGTGAAGGCTGAGAGAAGTTCCCTGAGGCCCTTGTAAAGGGTCAGTTTCACAGAGAAAGGTCTAGGCTTTAGCTCTAGTGCTGCCCCTGGCCCCAAGGCTCCACAGCTGCTGCTGAGCCCTCAGCTCCACCCCTGAGGCTTCAGTGCTCCTGTCTGACCCTGAGGTTCCACTGCTGCTGCTGGGCCTGGAGCTCTGACCCTGAGGCTCCATCCCTGAGGCTTCAGGGACTAACATTCCAAAGGCAAATACAGCAAAAACAAAAACAAATAAATGACACTTGATTAAGCTTCTTCACAGCAAAGTAAATAATCAATAGAATAAATAGACAACGGACAGAATGTGAGATAATATTTGCAAACTATACACCCGATAAAGGGAGAATATCCAGAATCTACAAAGAACTCAAACAAACCAGCAAGAAAAAAACAACCCCATTATAAAGTGGGCAAAAGACATGAACAGAAATTTTTCCAAAGAAGATGGACAAATGGCCAACAAACATATGAAGAAATGTTCAACATCACTAATCATCAGGGAAATGCAAATTAAAACCACAATGAGATACCACCTTCCCCCTGTCAGAATGGCCATTATTAAAAAGTAGAAAAACAATAGATGCTGGCATAGATGCAGAGAGAAAGGAATGATTTTGCACTGTTGGTGGGACTGCAAATTAGTACAACCTTTTGGAAAATAGTGTGGAGGTTCCTCAAAGAAATAAATGTAGTTGTATCATTTGACTCAGCAATCCCATGACAGGGTATCTATCCAAAGGAAGTCATTTTATTAAAAATACACTAGCACTCAGGTGTTTATTACAGCACAATTCACAATTGCAAAGATGTGGAATCAACCTAAGTGCCCATCAATTCATGAGTGGATTAAGAAAATGTGGTATATATAAATCATGGAGTACTACTCAGCCATAAAAAGGAATGAAATACTGTCTTTTCCAGCAACTTGGATGGAACTGGAGACCATTATTCTAAGTAAAGTATTTCAGGAATGGAAAAACAAACACCACATGTACTCTCTAATAATTGTGAGCTAATCGATGGGCGCACATGGACACAAAGAGATGTAAAGGTCATTGGAAATCAAGAAGAGGGGTAAGGGGAGAGGGAGGCGTAAAAACTTACCTATGAGGCACAATGAACAGTATTCAGCTGATGGGCATACAAAAAGCCCTGATTTAAGCATTATAAAAGTTATCCATGTAACAAAAAACATTTATACCCCCTTAATATAATATTTTGAATAAAAAAAAAAAACACAACACTCAAGTAGGCCAGGCGTGGTGACTTATGTCTGTAATCCTAACATTCTGGGGGGCCGAGGCAGGAGGATCTGTTGAGTTCAAGAGCAGCCTGAGCAAGAGCAAGACCCCATCTCTACTAAGAATAGAAAAAATTAGCCGGGCATGGTGGCACATGCCTATAGTCCCAGCTACTTGGGAGGCTGAGGCAGGAGGATCGCTTGAGCCCAGGAGTTTGAGGTTGCTGTGAGCTAGGCTGACGCC